GCGCTTTGTCGTATCTCGCATCAGAAGGAATGGGTTCGCAAGCATCCGGTAGGGCAGCCGAGGTCAAGAAGATCCATCTTTTTTGTTTTAATCGTGCACCAGAATGTGCAGTTATTTTGATTGAGGTTTGAATCGTTTCTTTGATTACCATGTAGTGTTCACTGAATCCTTCGGCTGATGGTTGAGCTGAGAGGCGATCTGATAGCTCCGCTTCGAAGGACGATTTGTAACCATGGCTGACGTTGTATAGTGGGTATCCGTTTTCGGTGGCCGTTCTGCGATTTTTTACCAGGCGTAGGAAGAACCTGGTTCGTAACAGAGCATGGTCTCTGTTCACGGGTGTTGGCCAGTAGGAGCAGCAGTCTTTAATAGATCCTCGCCAGCCATGGTTAATGGCAATGTGGTCGATTCGAGTCCACCGCTGTGAAGAGGTTGGCGAGTAACATGTAAGGCGGTGTCGTTACTTGTGGGAGAAGTTGGTGCTCGACAGGAGCAGTCCGTGGTCAGCGCGTTCTCCGTTGTCCGTCCGATTGGCTGGGATTGCACGTGAACCACCAATATACCTTTTGAACCGTCCAGGGATCCCACTTGAGCATTGAAGTCTCCAGCGACTACGACGATGTCCGTTGACCGAGTACTCTATAGCAGTTGGCTGCAATCGGTCGGTGCATGGACAGAGCCGACAAATAAGCATCCAAGATTCGTTATGTAGCTGTTGACCGGTACTGAACGATCCAGACGTAAAGCACAGTCGGTTACCAACCGGGTACCAGTCGAAAAGTGAACGCTCGGCCTTGACACCCAGCGCAATCCCGACACCAGCAACACCGCGAGCTTCGGATGCCTAATCGCCTGATACACGAAAAGTGAAGCGTGAGGATGAAGTTGGATCAGGTCGTAAGATAATGCTTGAAATAGGGTCTTGTATGCGTGTTTCGGAGGCGCAATATGCGACTAAATTGAAAGTTTCAAAGGGTTCTAGCTAACGCAGTTTGTTGACCAATATGATAATGTGCAGACACTGAGTGCAGTACTGCTTAACCGGTTTCCCCACCAGACTCGTGTAACAAGACATAAACAGCGATTTTTGAACATCGACGGTTTACCTTTATCCTGCTTTCGTAATAAACAAGTCTCTGTGCCGCATATCAGAATCGGCACAACTATTGCAAAATACACTCGACCGCTCACACGTGGCCGGATGTCGCGACGGCACCACAAATGTATCCAGTTAACCAAAGACAATCTAGCTTTCTGTATGCGTGCCAACACTTCTTCCGTGATGCGTCCGCCGGGTGAGATGTGAACTTAGAAGGGCGAATGCAGTAGAAGTGCAAAGACGAAAACCTGTTCAGCTAACTTCCATCACGACGAGAATGCACCATGGCGTAGTGTAATGGTTGGTGCCTCCAGGACCCTGCAAGCTACACAGGATGGCTTTTCACAGTTGCAGATTCAACCATGCCGGAAGGGTCAGTGGGTAGAGATGAGAAAAAGTTCAGTTTCACAAGGCCAGCTAATTTGGCACCTGGCTTCCTTTGTTTATCCACACTCGCTCCTATAGAGATCACTCCAGTAAATAAACACGGTGAGGGGCAGTTTACCGGTAAAAAAAAACCCGCTGAATGGATGTAGGAGCGAGCTACCTGGGGCTTCCTCTTAACGACGGGAGAAGTCATCACAACTTCGTTGGACAGCTACCGCCCGCCCAAGCTGGGTAGCCCTCAACCAATGAGGTAGTGTCCCGTCCACGTTTTACTTCTCATTGGGTGCATGAGAATAAGGACCAATCCCAAACAGCGAACCGGTAATCAACGCACCTGCGAACAATACACTGAACCGAAACCCAAAGGCCTTGTGTGATAGGTCCCACACGGGTGCTTCGGTCACTCCCGCGTTGGATCTACGCCTCACTGCCTTCAGTGGGTCAGAATTTTGAGTTGAAGGCTGCGGTTAGGGTTCCCAAAGAAACCACTCTTCGTTGGTGTGGGTTACCTCGAAGTGTCGTGCCTTAAGTCTTAGGCACCCAGTTGGCAAACCCTTTTTCCCATCGGTCTAGTTCCTCCTTTCAATCCCGAGTAATCCCAGAAGCCTCTTGGAAAAACGGAACTTAAATCAGTACACGGTTAATGATTGAAAGAACTGAAGTGCACTCGTATATCCAAATGGTAAGCCCTAAAACTGCGATATAAACCAACACCCCGAAGTGCAAGGTTAATGGGTGCATAAACTGAATTGAGTGATTTAGGTGCTTACATCTTTATTATTCCAGGGTGATCGCCAAGAACATCAAGATCTCACATTCATTTGGAGTTTCAGATAGGGCAAAAAGACAAAATTCAATTTTTGGATATCTAACTGGTTGAACCCTTATGAGAATCTACAAGAAGCCCGAACAGAATGGGAGGGCTACTGCGCTGGATGAGAATAAAGCTGTTCACTATTGATCAGAAGTTAAGAAACAGCGTCATCCAATTGAACAAGCTTTCATTATGCCGGAATTGGGTCGTAACCCGGGCTAACGCGCACGCACACACACGAAAAGACGACCACTAAGGATCTGTTTAGTATTCTGATTTAACGTGATGGTTTGATGCCATTCAGATATTATTGCAGCGTAAGGAAAGAGAGGTGAACCTCAGGATAACGTACCTACTATTGTGCTACGGGAACCAGCAGCTTAATTTGGTGTGAGGAACTATAAGATCACCCAGCAGAGGCGTTATGACCTTCTTTTGGCACATCTCGACAGAATGGAAACGGATAAACCAGATTTTATGATAGAGTATTCCGAAGCCGTTGCATGACTGCAGAAGGCAATAAGTTATCTGAGCTGGAGTGTGCTGAGACAAACGGACACTCGTGAAACTTGCAAATGGCAAGACGCACATACCGGATGGACCACGCTGATCACAGGTCTGTACACGCAGGTGTTAGAATGGCGGTGAATAAAAGACGATGGTAGTGGGCAGATGCAACCCAAGTGCAGAGAAAAATCGTGAAGAACAAAAGAAAATTGGAAAGGGACATTAGATTAATTGTTGCACGAAGGAAAAAGCACTGATTGTTTTCTCTTAATTTACATTGCTTCCTGCGCTCTTACAATATATATCACCTAAGGTCAACAACTGTGAATGGTGCATTGGGATCATCGATCAGATGAGGACACGGTTCATAAATGGGCACTGCTTTGGGGTGTGGATGAAACCCGGATTCTTTACACTGGCGCACAAATGGAATTCCGATGCCAGGATTTAACGAAAAAGCAGCGACTTCGTTGAATTTAGGTGAACACACGATGGAAATCGCCTCAGGCAACATTATTTGATAGGATAGTTGAGTATGTTGATCTACGGAGGACAGAAACGCCGTCTGACTTGGATGTGTATGAATCCATCCCAACAAAATCAGATTCCGTTTTTCCATATATTCAAATAGTTCCTCCTCGTTGTGTGTTGTACATGAGTCAGGCGTTCCACTCTGCTTAGTGATAACAACGTCTGTGATTCGATATTCGTTACCCACCAATTTACCACAGAGACTTGCGCATGTCTCTCGATTGGCTGTTGTATTTGGTTCGGCCAACTGTAAGAAGCGATCAGCCAATCGGAAAGACATACGGACAGGTAACCAACCATGTGGTATACTCTTGGTTTGTGGTTTTAGAGATCGATCAATGGGAGGTGGTTGAGTACAGCGGTGCTCTTTCGGTACCGCGGTATTTGCGGTATTTAGTTCGGGGACTCGGGGTAAGCTGGGATAAGATACTGGGCGAGGATGGGGAGGAGGGGTATAAACATGCACCGGACCAATAGGCTGCGTTGATATTGGAGGCGGAGATGGAGGAGGTTCAGGTAACAACTGTCGAACATCCTGATCCACTTCTGCTCCACTTAGACGGCCATTTTCGTCTTCTTCTCGCTCTTCATTTTCGTCTTGTTTTCGCAAGAAATCTTCATGCTCAGCCATATATCGCTCGAGAAGACTCTCCTTCAAATTCTCAGCATTCCGGAATGTGGCCTTGCAACGTTGCTTCCACCAAGTCATATCACTGCTGTTAATTTTCCCAAATTCTTTGTGTTTTGGGAGCACTTCTAGGAACAGTGTGAGAAACTTGGAAGCCAACACGAATGCGGACTCTTGACGATTCTCCACAATGTGCATGTCAATCATTCGTAGCATTGAAAGCATTGCTCGCAGGTACTGGTCAATACTCAATCCGGGGCTCAGTTCTACATCTCGCGCAATATTCGACAACACTCGAAGACGTTCTTCGGCGGTCTGGGCAGGTGACGTGTGTGCTGAAAGAGGATCCATGATAGGCAGAGACTGATTGACCGAGCCCAACGTGATCGTTACTCAACGTTCTGAGAGGTTGGAGTGATCATTGATGAAGCCAGAATGATCGGTATGCAGTCACTGCTAAAAGGTAAGCGAAATGAAAATGAAGCTCCACGTCACTTCAAGACTATTAACTAGTTGGAAAAATAATGAATCTAATATGGTGAATTTCGACGTGTTCCGCGTAAAGGTAGTGTAAACTCAAAAGCATGGGAACACCGTACAGTTATTCCGACTTTCTGTGTTGTGGCTAGCGGAGAGAATCTATCGGAATATTTTCGTTCCCAGGTGCAACCTTGCATGCTGGTGGTGAGATAAGAGGTAAGAAACCCGCAACAGGCTTGTTCATATGGGTTCTGCCTTACTGTAGGTTATATTATATCACAAACGCGTCGGAGTCTAGATCGAGTAAAAATGTGATGCAACAGCCATGACAAAAAAGAAAGCAATTCATCATTTGCTCAATATCAGTTTTAGTGTATAAAACCCATGACTATGCAATTGTGTGCGGAGATTTCGTTGGTGTCTTCTGAAAACCCATTTGGTTGAAGTAGATCAAGCCTAGAATGTTGGAAACAGTTTCATTGTGCATATAGGCAATCCAGGTAGCTTGAGGTAGAAAAGACTAAGGTGCGTGAGCGCCACTGTTTAACACACTAAGCCACATCACTCACTATCTCTAACGATTGATTACGCTGATCCCGAAGTTTCCAACCCGGAAGCCTAAAACAAACGACATGCCCAAGTCTTCTAGTCAGCGGTTTCAAACTCCCGTACTAAGCTTTGCTTTGCTTTGACCGAATTTAAATTCTTCTCACAACTACCTGCCCCGGCAAACATTGCACTTCAACACAATCAATTTGATGACATACGTAAAACAACCCAACCGGCGTAATGTGGGGATAGAAGTTTCGCACCAATGAACGATTGCGACCATATTATAACACCTTAGTGTGATGTACAGTAGACAGAGCTAAACCCATAGTGACGAGGATCTGCTGTTCGGCGATGGAAGCTGGTAACCCAAGTCCCCGGGGTTGGAGTAGTGAACCCCGCTAGGTCACCTGGATCTCTGCACCTAACCTCAGCATCTCTCATCCCGTTTCCAGTCAGACTCAGACAATACGGCGTAGACAACGGTGTTCGAAAA